ACTTCTCTGAAAGTTGTTGGCTAGAGACTTTGTTAAGCTTGTGTTGTTGATAAGTCTTGGATGCTAAAATACATGAGAAGACGTGTTTTTTTCCTATATTTTGTATGAAATTTACATTTTATGGAGTTTTGCATTTTTTATCAATAAACACCAGATAGTGTATATTTTCTGGCTGGATTTCTTTGGAGAACAAGATATGGACATTGTATTTTGTAAATCCCTCATGCTGATGTGTATTTTTCCTGGGCAAACTTTCATGGAAGTATTGCTGCACTCTGCACAACAGGAGTATTGCTGCACTCTGCTCAACATTGAAGCCCCACAATGTACATAAAAAGGGGTTCTATCACATTGTCGTAGCCACTGTTTTCTCTTTTTCTGACCCCCACTTCTGCAGACTTCCCCGATTTCAGGACACACGTTTGGTCTGGTTATTTATGAAAATTAACTAAAGTAGGGTTGGGACCTTGCCGTCACAGAACTAGCAAATATATTTCTATAAGAGAATAAAAACATAGAAAAAATGGTCCAGAGTGATCTATATCTTTAAAAATAATAAACCCTTTATGCAACCACCAATATAGTCTACATTTTGTGTCTAAAGTGTGCAAATACATACATGTAAAAACTGATGATTTGCTATACTTTATACCCAAATTCTGAAGAAAGTTTATTAAAAGATAAAATTTACATTTTTAACAAAAAGGTGAAACATACAAGAAAAATAAGACTTATTACCTTTACTTCAGTTAATCTGTAATCAGGAGGTATGGTTTCCTCATCTTCCCCAAGTTTCTCACGCTTCTCTTTTTTTGTTTTTTCCTGGACAATGGGAAGAAGACAAGAAATAGAAACTTTCAATAAGAAAAAAAACTAGTTATACAGTTTCAATGTAGTTTATTGGAATTGTCCCATTGCTTTGTATTATTCTTTATAAAACAGTAAGTCAAAATCTATTGTTGACTACCATGGAAATTCTTCCAACCAACTCCCCACCACATGAACTACTGTAGAACATGAAGAGAAGTATTGCATGAGTGACCCATTTTGAGATGTATTCCTTAAATCCACAGCAACATCTTGCCCCCACCCTCAAAATATTATTTTAGAATACCTCTGGTTATGACTGGAATCATGCATGGTAAGCTATGAATTGCTTAAGCATAATTTGTTCAATAAGTCGTAAGTGGGTGAGTTCACACATCATGCCCAGCCATAAACCATAGTGGTTGGCTTCACACAATGCATGCAGCCACAAACAAATGGAAGTATAGCATAATACCCTAATGTTCACTGTTGAAATCTGGCCACTGTCATGGCATGGAGAAATACTTTTAAAAAATCTAAACTGAGAATTAATTAATTAATTGCTAGCAATTAATTAAAAAACAGAAAACTACATTACATAGCGAACTATTTTGGTGCCTTCAGAAAGTAAGAGAGGCCCAACCATTACAATCAGCAAGTTAGATATTGCAAGACAAACTGTTTTATTACTTTCACTTTATCCACAGCAGGTTTCTTTTCTTCTGGAGCAGGCTCTCTTTTTCCCAGACTTCCAGATAAGGCATCCAGTGCTTCATCAGCTGCATGTGTACCCTATGAGTAACATAACCCAAATCAGTTGAGAGTTATTTTTTAAAACTGTGATTGAAAAATGAGAAATATAATATTATTTATCTCCAGCATCTCAGATTTAACCCAAAATAACAGTCAAGAAAACTTGTTACTATTGTGATAATACAGCAATGCAGAATTGGTTAAACGAATGACCCAATTTTTAGTACTGAGTGTAAACAAAATCTATATGGAATTTGCTCCTAGACCAATTAAAATTAAAGACTTGATTTTGCTACAAGCTTAAGTTAAATTGGTCTTAGTCACCCCCTGCTGAATCAGAGAAAAGCTTCAATCTAACTATCCCAAATACAAAAAAGAGAAAAAAATTCAGATTATCTCAACTGCCAAATAGTCTATACTGATAATTTAAACCGTAGCAACTCTAAGCAACTCTATAAAATCAATTATTGGAATTGACCAACTGCACCTTGGGATGTTTGCTATTAATTTCTGTAACTGATTACTCACTGGAGGAACAACTGTAGGAGCTGAAGATTTCACAGAAGTAATAGTTGCAGCTGAGACAACTTCTTCTGCAGATGTCTTCTGGGGCTTAGCTGGTTCAGGCTTCTAAAGCACGATGACAGTAATAGATACTGATTACAAGATTTACCTTTGCACAACATACTTCACAAGGCTTTATGAGTTTGACAGACAGATATGACTAGATTCCTATCAATCTTAGCATAGTCAAATTATTTGTTTAGAAAACATCTGAACATTTCATCTTTATATTACTGTATATTCAAGGAATAAATCCACTTCTGTCACATATTAGAATCAAATAAAACTGTATTGTTCAGTTTAGATGTCTTTTTAGATTTCTCTCTCTCTCCCCCCCCGCCCCCCATGCACACACAAAAGCAGCTATTGCCTTCTCAAATGTGAACTCATTTTTTGATCTTTAAGAAGTTACTCACTGTTGGAGCTTCTGATGAAGCCAAAGACTGCACAGGAAGAGCTACAGGAGACGCGGCTACTTTTTCTTTGGGAGCTTTGGGGGGCTCATCCACTACAGGTTTCTTGGGGGGGAAAATAACTAATGAATTTTAATCATCAAAAGGTATGACTGTTTGAGCACCATTAAAAGGTTGTCCCCAAATCTCTATTCCCAGTCTGCTAACAACATCCTTTTGTGCAGATGGCCTGCCCACCTATCTAACAGTCTGCTCAAATAAAATCCCATAGTAATAGCCACAATCTATCTTGTAGGGGCTTCTCCTTGCTCTCCTCCACATGTGACATACCCAAACCTTAACAAATGATGAGTTATATAAGAGCAGAACTAGAGAGGAGGACACAGTATGGATGAATTAAGCTTTTTTCATCTGCTTGTATCTAATATGGTCTTTCTCAACCTGAAATTCTAATGATGTGTTGAGAAATACTAATCTCAGATTTCCCAAAAGATCTTCCTGCCTGAAGGTTTTGTTTGTTTGTTTGATTTACTGTATATAGCTGCTCATTTCACTTTTATGAGACACTAGGCAGTTTACAATAAAGCAAATAAAATGCATAAACTACAAAATATAAAAAACAAATAAAAATAAAAACACATAGCAGCCAAGCATAATCTAACCAATCATCCACACAACCAGGAGATGGGGTCTAACCTACGCCTAGGGCCCCAGGCTTGGGCACAAAGCCAAGTTTTCAAGGCCTTATAAAATGCCAGCAGGGACAGGCCAATCTAATATCAGGGGGGATGATGTTCCAAAGGGCGGGTGCCATGGCAGAAAAGGCTCTCCTTCTGGGCCCTGTCAGCTGACACTCCTTAGCTGATGGTACCTGGAGCATACCTTGCCTGCCAGATCAGGTAGAATTGGTAGAAACAATTGGGGAGAAACAGTCCCATAAGTAAGGTACTTATTTAAGGAAAGTTGATCTATTACAATACAGTATTTTGAATTTTACTGTAGCCTTTGGAGCAAAAGTAGCATACCTTAGATGTATCAACAAGTTTAGCTGGTTTTGATTTTTCTGTGGAAGAAGTAGGACAGACAAAGTCTTTTGAAAATTCATCAACGAGCTCAATCTCACTAATTGGCTGTAAAACAAAAGAGGAAAAATGGATGCAGTGTTATCAATTAAAAAACACAAAAAAGACAGCCACAATAGTACCAACATTTATCAAGTTACCATTTATCAGCAGAGGGAAGAAAGTAGCTACTGATATTTGCCTGGAAATGTGTATGTATTTCTGTTCAACAGATAGGAATCTTTACTCCCCAAGTAAAACAGCACTGTGTTAATAATATGTTTGAAAAAAGGGAACCTGAACAGTGCCCCTTTTTCTCTGAAGATCCAGTTAGCCTGCTTTTATGGAAACTGACACCATACCAATAGCATACCCACCTATTATACAGCTAGCAATAATCAAGACTTCTAGTCCACATAATTGTGTATTCTATAAATCAATATCTTGATTGATTCAACTCTATGAGAATTATTTTGTAATAACATGCCTCTGTTATACTATACTGCAAATCAAGAGAAGATCTGAAACTTTCAGACACTGTCAAGATTCATTGACAAGACAACAATCTTATCCAATCCTGGGGGTGGCTGGTGCCTTGATGACACTCCCTGAGTGACTGCCAATTTTATATCTAACCTTGGATCTATTTATTTTCTATTTATTAAGATTATTGTATACTGTCATTTTAATTGATTTTAACTGTTTTGTAAACCACCCAGAGTCATTTCAACGAGATGGGCGGCAACAAATTTGATATATAAATAAATAAAAATAAATAAGATTATTTCACTTACACTGTAAGAGAGAGACAGGCAAACCAATGTAAGAAATGCATCTTACATCAATGTAAGAAAAGAAGACAGTATCTTTTGAGTTTTTAAAGAAAGAATATGGATCAAGAGTGGGACATAATAGGCGCTTATAAAATCATGCATGTAAGAAAGATGTCAAAAGCAAGAAGTTTTTTCTCATTCCCCCACAGTATTATAATCTGGACTCATCCGTTGAAGTAAGGTGTGAGGAGATTCATGAATGATAAAAGGAAGTGATTTCTTCAAATACATGTGGTTAAACTACGTAATTCATTGCCATCAAATGTGCTAATAGCCACTAATGTGTGAAGACAAATTGATAGGAGAATAAGGCTGTTCATCTGGATTCCTTGTATATTACTTTCAGAAAAAGTGCCAGTTGCTGGGGATCAACAATGAAAGTCTGCTTCTGACTTCATGTCTTCTATCTGAATTTCCTGCATATACAGAATTGGCACCTGTGACTTACAGTTCTGGACTAGACAGTCCTTTGATTTGATCTAACAAAATACTGTATTTTTTGCTGTGGCAAAAAAAAAAAAGAACAAAAAATCTTTATTAAGAACTTCTGTTTGTAATATACTAGAGTTTCCTCCAAAACATATTGAATGCATTCTCAATATGTTTTGAAAAAAGAACTGATAAAATTTTCACTCAACTGGTTCTCTTTTTCAACTGAATTAATAGAAAAAAATATTTTAAAAAAGATTAATAACCTTTGGTTTCTCTTCAGGTGTTGGCAACAAGGGCTTCCCATCTTTGTCCTAATATTAAAAAAAAAAACTATTAAGTTTTGAATATACAATTCATATTCAATGAACATTAATCAACATTAAAATAGTGAAGTTACAGAAGAACTCCAAATCTGAACAGAAAGATTTTTCCCAATTTCCCCAGAGACCATAATTTGTTTAATGGTTCATATCATAACAATAATTAAGATGCACAGCAGATTACTGAAAGAAGAAGGATGAGGCTACAGCAGATGTAGTAAGCCTATGGTCATCACTTTTTAATGAACTTCATTTCCAGCATTCCTCACCTTTGGCCATGCTGGCTGGAGTTGCAGTTCAACAACATGCGTATCACCAATCTTCCTCTCTACTGGACTAAAGGTCAAAAGTATGCTATTTGCAATAATGTTAACTTCTACTTTTATATACTCTTAAGCACATTTTGAAAATGTATGTACCAAGCTGCTAAAAAAAATAATCAAAATTCTACTGTGGGAATAGATGTCTCTCGGTGTAGCAAAGAAAAGATTGGAAACTTACAAGACGTATTTCTAACACCCAAATTACATGGCTAAGGATAGACACGTGGATCCAGCACTGTTCTTAATCCCTCTATAGTATTTTTCAAAATGCATGACACAGCATACTCATCTTAGTTACTTCTCTCACTTTCTCTTGCTCTATCATTTTACCAACCACTGCATGCAGGACCAATGAATCTAATCTGCTGATATCACAACACTTTAAATTACATATTATTGCAGGGACATAGCACAATGGTGCACCTGTATCTCCCTTGAAAAAACTATTTTGCACCTTAGGCCATCCCATATTTGCTTAATCTATGTATGCCTAGGTGTGTACACATGTATACATGTTTGTACACATGTATGGGTGTATACACATACATGCACAACCTAGCATTTTATTGTTTCTTCCCAAACAATTTCAATTTGGATAACTGCTAACTCTAAGAAGCAGAATTTTTCTATTATAACTGGGTGGAATTGTTATAATGTGCCCTTTTCATCAGCTGGTTGTGAAGGGATCAAACAACCATTTCCCTATTCTTGCCTTTCATGGCATGTCAAAGCACTGAAAGCTGAAAGAGCCACCCATGCTAAGAATCCCAGTGCTCAAACTGCAATTCTCCCCCTTAATCTGGGCATAGTATGGCAAAAATTAGTAAAACTACTAAGGTATCAACTAATTAATTGAATAATTTAATACCCCAATGCAATTGCCAAACTAACAAAAAATAATGTATTGCATGTCACTGAAACCTGGAGATTATTAGTTTGTTTGTTTGTTTGTTTATTTATTTATTGGATTTCTCCCCCACCCATCTCCCCCACAATAGTTACCAAGGTTGGTTTTAATCTGTATTCAGGAGGAATTGTGTCATCATGTTCACCAGGTTTCTTTTCTTTCCTTTCTATGGCTTTTGGCTGAAGGAAAAAAAAAGACAATTTATCAATATGATTCTTAGGAAATCTGAACAGATACACTAAAATCAGTGGGTTTCAAAAGTGCCTAAAAAATGGTTCATATCCATGAATCATATACACCTAAGTATTTCATGACTATTGATCATATAGTATTTAATTAAATAGCATTTTATTCCCCTGCAGTTGTAACCTAATCTTATTAAGATTTATTCACAAATATCTCTTAATCTCTTAATGTATTAGTTACTCCAAATTTACTTGCACAAAATTGTAGCCTTAAAATCTCTAAGAAAAATTTGTATGATATTTTCATTGCAAGAATCTTCCCAGTCATTCCCTCACTTTCTAACTCTGTTAGCAACAAGCAAAAAATATTTTTGTTGTTGATTTTTTCCCAGAGTGTTTGTAGCACAGGTAATACCTCTTCAACTTCAATGATGGAACTAATATCTTCTTCGGGTTCAGGTTCTGGCATACCAAGTGTATCCACAAGAGCATCCAGGGCACTATCACTAATTTTCACCTATATTGTAAAACCAAATGCAATTGTTTAAAAAATAACAGGTGATTCCTTATATCTGCACACATGATGAAATGACTGGAGATGAAGCTGTATTGACAACTCAGATTTTTAAACAATTGTTACATAGTATAATCTAGGCAAGGTAGCTAAAATATTTGAATGGAGGATGGTAAATTATGCATTCTTTCATTACAGGGCAATTGCCTCAGGCTGATTTGCACAGTCTCTCTCTTTTTATAGTTACCACTGAATTTCAAGTAATCTATAATGATACAGGCTCATCAACCTTAATAATAATAAATCCACCATGACTCTTGAAACTTGGTTCAAGTCTTTTAGTTGTGGTCTAACAATTGTGAGCTCAGGAAATTAGAATGATTTATAAAAAAAATAGTTATGAGAAGCCCCAGGAAAATTAATCCCCATTTATTTGAATAAAAGGAAAAAAATATCCATAAACTGAGTAATTACTGCCATACTCCAGATAAAGTGAAAAACATATTCTCTCTAGCATCAGTGCTATACCTATTATTATTCAACGTCATTAGATAGTACATTAATGTGATCCTAATGCGTTTTTATAGTTGCTTGTGATCCTGTGCAACAATAAACATTAGGAATAACTATAACACAACATTTAACACAGGTAGAAAAGAAAAACAGAAATCATGCCCAATGAAAACACAACAATCACAATGAAAACAAAGAATTGATCATTTTGACAGACAATGAAAGGAAATCACATCCTGACTTCACATTTGAAATTCAAACATATATATGTTTGAGGTCTTGTAGCAACGAAAAGATAATATATTTTATATGTACTGTGTATTTTCAGATAAAGATTCAACCCCCTTTAGATATCAGCTACATATTAGGGCTATATACCTCAAAGCTCATAATGTGTTGTAGAGTACTGAAATTTTCTCATCTAAACCCACAGTCATCTTTCTGGTGGACGGGCCACTGATATTTAGTCAGATGGGATACAAAGGGGGATTGGAGGCTATATGTCCCCATTTTAAAAGCATCTTGGCAAATGCTGCATGAGAAAAGCTACAAAGAGGAAAATATTTTCTTCAATGTAGAACTCATCCAATGAATGAAGTTTAAAAATAATTCAATTAACTAATATGATTCAATACTAATTCTCTTGATGTAGTTTGAACATACATAGTTAGGACTGACAAGGAAGCTCAGAAGGTCTTTGTTACCTAACTTTTGTAGCAGTCTTCCAGAATCCTTAGTCATAACCATTTTATACACCTATTTTGGAATATCAGAACATTTAATATAGAACAGTAGTTTAAACAGTAATTTAATCTAGAACAGTAATATATATACCTCTTCTAATTTTGGTTTCTTCTCTTTGGGAGGAGCTGAACTCCTGACCGTTGTTGTGGAATGGGCTTGTAAAAGCTCATCTTTTGCTGCAGGCTTATAGCATAAAAATATAAATGTATAATGAACAAATATAAACACAAAATTTATTGGTATAAATTATAAAGCAACTTATTAAAACGATCCTTCCAAATGGATATTTCAAGCCTGGCAATATTCCTTTAAAAGACAGTAAAACCAGTACCTCTTTTGGCCTGACTTCCTTTTCTCCAGCAGATGGAACAGCACTGCATGTAAAATCAGATGACAGAACATCTGCTAGGTCATCATCTGTCATTGTTGGCTAAATGAAAACACAAACTGGGTTACACTTATACCAGTTGCTCAATAGCAATTTACAGTCTGTGAGCACCATACATTTTAATGATACATAGCTAAATTTGCTAATGTCTGATCTGGAGACACCACCCATCATTCTGTATTAATAGAAGGAGTAACATCAAAAGTGAAAACAAAAGAAAAAAGAAGTGACGACTTGCAATCTCGCTGTTGCAATGGTTTATTTTTCCAGCAGTTCTTTGCTATTCAATGGTTGCATTCACGCATAATACCAGGAAGCGGGGTTTTTTGTTTTGTCTTGTTTTATTTGTTTAAATGGCCTCGTTCAAATAAAATATTAATCCATAATGGAGATCATGCAATGTCACTTATTTATTAAAAATTGTATTTCAACAGAATTTTAATAGAGAAAGTACTATAGTCTTCCCTTATATTCTATTAGAAAATATTCTCTTGATTCATTTTCTCAGGGGCTAGTCACCAACATGAGACTATATATGCCTTAACTTAGCAAAAAGTTTTGGAAAATAATTACAGAATTACAATGAACTCTCAAGTTTACTCAGTCACTTGCCTTTAATTTTGCCCTATATATTTTTACATTAGAAACGAAAAAGCTACACCTTTTATAGTCTGCATCCACAATTCCTGTCCATAACAAAAATTACTGTATTCCACACTACACAGAGTATAAAACCTTTTCTATATAACATTTTGTACCTATTTCTAGAGATTACTCACTGAATTCAGCAAAAATAGTACTATCTATATATATACTTTTATTGTGTCACATGAAGCACTTAAACCTACACAGTTGTAGTTAATTGAATTAGCCACTTGTATAACACCATGACTACTCATATATAGTAAGTTGGATGCACTTCAGCAAATCAGTTACTCTGTGATTAGATATTAGATTCAATCTCCAGAAGGTGTTTTGGAGCAGGTGGGAGTATAAATATAGGACCTGACTGCAACATTCTAAAGCAGCAGCATCTTTTTTCAGGATCACCCAAAATGTTTAAGATGTTGCAGAGCAGCATTGCTGTGCTCTCCAAAGCACCTATTAGAGATTAAATCCAAACCACTGCACAGCCCTATTAAATGTGCCTAAACTTGTTTATTTGATTTGTCTTTGAAGCAAGCATGGCTAACTTAATCTGGATCCATCCAGTAGCTACAAACACAACATATTTAAAGAGTCCTCAAAAGAACAGTAATAATTTTCTGTGTTCTCATTTTGTGTTAAATAAACTAACCATACCTGAGATTCTCCCACTGCAACTGATGGAGAAGCTATTTTACCATCACCTTTACTCTGGAAAAGAAAAGTAGGTTTGCGATGATATTTTAAGCAATTTGCCATATAGAAAAGGTCTGAAACCTAGTTCTGAGTAGTTTATACCTCCAATAATTTTCTGTATTCCGGAGGAATTGTGCTCTCCCATTTGCCCAACTCTTCAATATTCAAGGACGACATTGGGTCCTATACCGAATGAAAAGTTACATTTTATTCTTGAGCTCAACAATTAATTCATAATTACACAAAACCTATTGCCATAAGATTCCAATTTATTAAGAAAAAATATAATTTTAATTTCATTTCAATACTAGTTAGTTATCTTTGCAGAACAGTTATCCCTAATATTTGGTAAAAGTGCTTATGATAGAAAAGTCAGTACAAGCTGATGCCTGCATTCGTACATGTCTTTTCTGTTCTCCTGCTCTGTCACTACTGTACAGAACAAATCTCAGTTTACCTCAGTTACCTAACAATTGAGAACTGTAGTTCATTTTAATAGACAGACAAATTAAATAAACATTTTATCTAATTTTTAAAACATGCTGGTTTTTAAAATAACATACCATCTGGGCAGGAGGTGATAATTATCAGGATAATTTAATGATTAGGATTAATTACTAGAAATGGAAATAAAATCACTGCAATTCTGAAAAAATCCCTTCCTTAGAGTGCAGCAAAGAAGAAAATGATTATTCTGCCATGCCTGAGATCCAACTATTAGCCTCTCCCTACCTGACACTATCTACATTAAAAAAAAAAAAACATACCTATCTAGTTTTACATTAATGATGGTCAGACTAATTCATAGTACAGAGTTTGTAAATACAGAAACCTTTCTCCTGCATTTTGGTTACAGAGGAGAAGAAGGGGGAAAGTTCCATAGTCACAGTCATGTTTCCAAACATTACTGTCTGAATTCTCTCTCTTTGGTATTCTATAACTTTATCCTTCCCAGGCACTGGGCAAGAAGCCTAGACTGTCTCTGACCTCCCTGTTTTCTAATATCTAAATTTTTAAAAGCATGTAATCTTTTCACAACAGTGCAATGCTATCTCTAACGGTATGCATTTAATTCTAGACCAGTCTACCATTCTAGTATAATGACAGAAAATGAAAGCACGAGGAATGGGAATATTCAAGAAAGGAGAAAGGCTACAGATGCAGCCAATTTCTAATACGACACAGAGATTCTCAAATTGCGATGGCTACCTTTTGAAAATCTGTGCACGACTTAATCACTTTGCTATATACACACTTTTGATATTAAGTAAATGTGTGTCTGAGGGAAACAAGGAACAGTTCTACATTCTGAAAATTCAATTCAGTCACTTTACCTAGACCTATTCCCATGGAAGTGAGCTCTCCTAAATTCATTTGGACTTACATCTGAGTTGAAACAAGGTAATCACAAGAATCTGATAAGCAATGCAAAATTAAAAAGGAAGGGGGAATCCCTCCCCTAACTGAAGTAGGAAAAAAGCACCATAGTACCACTAGTCCAGACTTCCATGAGGTTTAAAAACTTGAAAAATGCATAGTAGAGGAGCACACACCAATGTTCAAGGGTGTTATGTAAGGAAGCTACAAGAACAAAGCATTATGCAGAACTTGGACTAATTTGTCATCATTTTATGTGCATGCACGTTTACAAGGTGACATTAGAAAAATGCAAGTTTCATAAGGATCTTATAGGAAAAATTCCATACCGAAACTTCCGGTCCAGTATATGCAGGAGCAGGTGGTTCATTTTCTTCAGGACTTCCAAGTGTATCTATTAAATCATCTAAGGCAGTATCTAAATCAGACTAAGGAAATATTTTTTTAATAGTGTATAGCATTCTAGCTGGCACAGAGTAGTCAACTTGACTACTATAGGGTACTATGGTAAGATATTTATTATTTATTTAGTAAATGTATACGCAGCTTAAAATTATTATAATCAAATACTATAAGAAATTCAATACAGTAAAATCTAACAACTTTATTATTTAAATTCTAAAAGGTTTCAGTGAAATATTAGTACTTAAAGTTATAGTTTATGAAACCCTGGAGATATTTTAACATTGGAGAAACAAGTTAAACTGGTGCATTATGGTACAGACTTGCCAACAGAAGCAAAGAAATGACTTGGGTACTAGAAATCCAGATATCCAGGTTTTGTAATTAGTAGGGTGTAAGAAATAGACCTTGAATGTACAGGTAAATGTTGGGGTGAGATGGAAAATAAGGTAATTGGATCACAGGATAAGATAGGGAGCTTTTTTAATATACAAAAAAGGAAAACCTTTAGGAAAATTGAAATGAAAGGGGGGGATCACCTTGAAGAGGTGAAAGGAAGAAACAAATGTTGAATTTGAAAAGATATAAAAGATGTGGTGCTGTGAGTACAAGAAGACAGATGTCTAGAGGCAAAGACAATACAGGCTTAGGGACTCTGGCATCAGCAAGCTTGACTCAGAGACACCAAATCTAGAAGAAATGACTAAGGAAAAGAAAAGGAAGTAGATAGTTTGGTAAAGAATCTGAGGAGGTAAAAAGAACTCAGAGATTTATTGAAACAGAATGGTTACTCAAGTTCAAGCAAGCAAAAAGCCAAAGCTTTAAAGTGAGAGAAAGGTTATTCATGAGTCAGGCAGCTTTCAAAAGCCAAAGGAAGAGACAAAGCCTTTCAGTTAGAAAAGTAAGAAACAGAAGAATTACTTGTCAGTAAAAGGTAAAAAGTGAATGCACAAGGCTTTTCCCTGTTCTATGCCCTGCTAGTGTGTTTTCCTACACCTTAAGTTCAAGGGAGCTAGATCAGCCAAGAGGTAACACATATGAACACAATGAACTAGTGCATCAGCTGGGGAGAGGATTGAAGCCAGAAGAATAAGGAGCCCCAAAGCATAATAGTTGGGGGAGCTTGCCATGATTTAGATCAGGGGACAGAAAGAAGGAGGTCCAAGAAAGTTCAAGTCACCAAAAGTGAAACTTGTTTGCAAGGTAGCTGTGATGGAACATCCTTGCCAAGAAAGACTTGGACCATGTTGTGTATGTATTAAATGTTTGTGTGTGTACTATGTGGTTGAAAATGCATTGGCCCTTTAAGAATGGGTGAGGAAGATGTTGAGGAAGCCTATGGACATTGAGATTCCAGCCCACTGAGTTCAACAGTTACTGCTGTGCAAAGTTATTCTTGTATCTGGTTGTAGATCTGTATAGTTGTTTTAATTCAAATAGTAAAATAGAGCTGTTCTTAACTTAGGTTCTGATTTCAGGTAACTAAGTAAAACTGTGTTGTCTGTTCATAAGTAGAAGTATCTTGGGGCTTAGTTGATCTAGGAGATGGAATGCCCCTTAGATCCACCTGCTTATTAACTACAGGCTGGGTTCAAGGAAGGGAATTTAAAAAAGAAACTGACAAAGACTCAACAGCTGGGAATTTCCTTGATCTTGGCTATGAAAATTAGTTTCTGTGAGTAACCCATCCAAAGTAATTCAGAAGGGTTCAAAAATGAATCTAGGTTCAATATTTTCAACAGGTTTTTTTTATTGAAAAAAACAAACTAAATTTATTGTTGATCTGGATCAACTCAATATTTAATAATTTTGATGAATCAACCTATCTTGTGGTTATCTGATGAAACATGGTGCATTATTCCAATGCTTTTTTTTTTTTTTTTGGTAAGAACATTTATAATTGTATTTTATCCATAGAGAAAAAAAGTTTTCACCATTGGACAGACTAAGCTTCCCACATTAGTTATGCCAAGTCTTCATGCCATCACTCTGTCCAATGTTTTGTACTCATTTCCAAGTATAATATTTTCCATACATTAGCCAGGATAGTAGAATCTACACCCACCAATCTCTCTTTCTGCTACTGATATGCTTGTTTTTTGTCTGATGCCCATTTATAGCTGAATTGCTATGATTGTTCTTTATATGCAACAAGAATATTTGCTTATGCAAGTGTATGTGTAGCATATATACGAGTGTACATATGTTCATTTGTATATGCAGTACAAGACATCTGTAAACTCCATTTTCTCAGGAAAACAAGTGCTCTACTCTTCCACTGATTAAATTAGGAGTTTGCCTATCCAACATAGAATAGGATCGTAATTGCTAAACTATTTTTTTAAATTCATTTAAGTACCAATTCCCTTGATTAATAATAATAATGGGAAAAATACAGTTTGAAATAAATCTGATTGTGCATATTTAAAAAGAATATCAAGATTATCCATACTGGATAGCTATTTTTAAAAATTGTGCTTTTTTTAAAAAAATAAGGATAGTACAATAGCAGAATACACAGGAAATAAACTCCTGGTTACCTTTTCTGCTGGTTTAGTGTCTGCAGTAGCGGGAGTTAGAGGTGCCAGTTTATTTTCTTTCGTCTGAAAACAAGAATGTATTTTTGAGAGCTAGCACATAATTACACACATACACACACACTACTAGCCACCACTAAACTCACCTCCGCAGATGCAGCAGTCAAGCCAGCAGCTGTAACTGTTCCAGCTGTGTCAACAGCTGCCTTAGAAGCCAATGGTTTGTCGTCAGTTTTAGCCTAAGATGGAGAAACATAAGATCAGCCAATATGAAGTACCACTAATGTTTAGAGCATCCCAAATTATGAGCAGAAATTGTCATTCAAATGTGGCTTTACACCGGTCTGAAATAAAAAGCAGAACATGATACTTACTACAAGCATAATTCAGAATTACTGTAAGACTATAACTTGCATATACTTTCATTTCTATTATTTATTAGTGTTCTGAGACACAGTAACACTAAACCACTGCCTGCTGAAAAGGTCAACAGTGTAATCCCTACCATGCAAATAAATATTTGAGAAGAAAAAAAACCTTCTTTTATTGGTGACCCACAATACTATTCTATATAGTGGTACACTAAATCTGAGGCATTAACCTCTCCTAAATAATTCAATAATCTCATAATAGGGATGTGATTTAAACCCAGGTTTAATACACTAATTACTGCATCACAAAATGCTTTTATATTAACTAATGCTTACTAAATGAAAACTCTGTTCTGAACCTATTTCTATTCTGAATCATTCTCAGTGAAGTTTTTAAAGTACATTTTTAAACAAGCAGACTGAGTTATTAAAAAGACCACGCATTCAGATATTATGGCAGGATCAAACAGTCACTAGTATGACCTGTTAGTGAGCTTTGGACAACTCTGTGATATAATAACATGACCAACTATGAGGTTTCACCTCATTTTATTCAATCTAAATCACCCAAGTATTTGAAATTGTATTACTATTCTGCAGACATTTTTACAACACAAAACACAACCATAATTTCTTGTTTATATATAACAAGAAACCTCTTAGCCTTTGGAATTCCTTCTCTAACAGTTTTTCTCACTTGCTGCTCTCCAGATTAGCAAAATTCAGGTCCCAGAATTCCCACCCAGCATGGCCTATGGTTAGGAATCCCAGTAAACAAAGCTCAACATTTCTGGAGTGTGTCAGCGTGGGGAAGGCTAGAGGCAGTTCTCACTTAACAATCATTCATTCAGCAGCCATTCGAATTTACAACGATGCTGAACAAAGGGGCTTATGACCTGTACCCAAAGTTACAGCTGTTGCAGCGCTCCCATGGTCATGTGATCATGATCTGGGCCCTTGGCAATCGGTTTGTGCTTAATGACCAGTTGCCAAGCATCCTGCGATCATGTGATCACCATTTGCAATCTTCCCTGCTGGCTTTCCCAGAAAGTCAATGGGGAAGCCGGCAGGGAAAGTCCCAAGCTGCCCCTGCCAATAGGACTCCCTCTCGACTCTAGAGGCTGACTGAAATGCCCCATGCCAAAATCCTGCTTGGATTTCAGAACAGAGCTTTTTCAGCCGGCCCCCAGTGATGAGAGAGAGTCCTCTCAACTCTAGGGGCTGGCTGAAAACACCCTGTGCTGAAATCCAAAATGATTTTCACCTACAGAGGATTTTCAGCTCCAGAGCGGAGAGGCTTCAAGAAGCCTCTCCGCTCTGGGGCTGAGAATCCAAGTGGTTCTGGGGCCCTCACACACCCAACCAACACCCCACCCCTGTGCACCCTGCCCAACCCACCCACACACCCCCTCGCTCCCTCTCCCACCCAGCAGCACCTGGGGCTTGCAACTTCTTGCCAGCTTCCCCACTGACTAGATTGTGGGAAGTCGGCAGGAAGTTGCCTCACCTAATGACCTGTGATTCTCACTTAACAGCGGCAGCCGGGAGTGCCAGGATTGCAGTCGCTAAGCAAAGTGGTCATGTGATATCTCGCTCAACAATCGCATCACTTAGCAACCTAAATTCCGGTCCCAATTGTGGTTGTTAAGCAAGGACTACCTGGACTATAGATCTAACATAAGAAATGCTATTTCAATACTTTCATTAGAAAAATCCCCTCATTTCCACCTTACTTTTGCTTCTTCAGTTGATGCAAACTCTGTTGACTTAGCACTCGGACCAGAAGCTTCTTTTCCAGAACTTGGTTCCTTAGGGTCCTTCCCTAAAGAATGTTTGCTTGGACTTTTTGCCTGCATAAATAAACAAACAAACAAAACAAACTTTCTGAATGTCTTTATGCTAATTTATGTTGAAAATAATTTTTATCATAATATATAAATCAGTTACCTCTCCAGGATCTCTCTGCTTCCCTTCAACTGGACAGCTAGGCTGAGATTCATCTGGCTGTAGTACACACAGTAATATAAAGACTTAATCAAACCTCTTTTACTGATTTTTAATCTAGAGCAAAATGATCTGCATGATGAACGATGTAATCATCAATATTATTGTTACTTTCCCTAAGCAGTACAAATTTCAATACTGTGCAGGCAGAAATCACCTAACACAATTACATTATAATGGAGATATTCAAATAGTCAGGTACCTCTGCCTGATTATCAAAATATAAAGCCCACCACCAAGATGGGCAGAGTTTTTCAAAGGGGAGTGCAATAGTTTGCATCCTAACTTTCCGCTATTATCAGACTTCTCTAAGGAGGACAATAAATACTTAAAACCTGGACTATATTCAGTGATGATATATCCATGATTCTTGAACAGGATGTTGAAGTTGTGGGTCTAAAGTTGCAAATCATTCTGCCCATCTCATCTTATGTCCAGAAGTCCATGACTCCTGGACAAGGAAAACACCCTTTGCATTACACAGTGCCTGCTGATTAGCCATTTGACTGATTTAAACATTTGGGTATCTCTTTTCTATCAGTTAGCTGCCCTAAGCAAAATTTTCATTATCCTCCTGGGGAAAGAAAAGTAGCAAGGGACAATAATGCCCTCCCTTGAGTTAAGGAAGGAACTAAAAAGAAACTGAAAAGAAAACTGGAAAGGAAATGAAACAGAAAGGAGATTTCAATAATCCACCAGTGTTTTGCTACCATTCAGAGCAACTGCAACCCCCTTGAGGGATTATAAATGCCTAAAGGGGCCTACCTCATTTATAAATCAGAGCGTCAGGACTTTTTCAGTTACTTATATATACGAACTTATGCAAGTACATACATTCATTCAGCCATCAATCCATCAAACACATTAAATTAATATAAGCCAATTCATTTCTATAGATTGTAAAATAACTTTGCTCCTACAAGTCTCAATACAAAACTGATTTATTCTGCTATTCAGTCTTTTCCTAAGAGCTTAGCTCTCTGCATGGTACACTTAAGGCCTAAGCATAAATTCTTGAAAATAACGTAGGGTCACTATATTTACAGTATGTTGCAAAAATCCCGATGATCATTAAATGGCAACAAAGAAACAGAAATTTTAACCATTTGCAATCATGCAGTGGTCATCCACATATTTCTAGTCAAAATGCTAAATTGCATTGCTAACTGCATTATAATTTATCTGCTAAATTACAGCCAATCTATGTATTGCATTAAAGACCTAACTGGCAACTGATTTTTTTCTTTTTCTTTTTTTTCCTTTTACTCTAGAGTACACACAAATTGGATCATTAAAGGTCAGTTTTTGCCAATACTGCAATCTGAATCAAACAAGTTTTACTGCTCTATAAACTGTTATAACTTCCAGATCCTAACCTGGATTAAGACTACGGTTGAGGACAATCAGGTAAAACCCCGATTTGTATTACAATACATTATAATTATATTAGAGTTATATTAGAGTTTTAATATTGACTGAATCTCTTAATAGTTGTTTGTGTGTATGCATGTTTGTGTGTATGCATGTATGTGTGTGTATATGTGTATGTATATATATACACACACACACACATACATACATACATGTTGGCATGTTTTAATTAATGTAGCACTTGGTCCACATTCTGCTGATTTCAGAGCAGTGAACTTTAAAACTGCTTTGTTTGGGCACTATGGTGAAGAACAGGTATGTAGATCTGGAGAGCAGACAAGTTTGCAAATACACATTGTTAAAACTCTCTCTGTGAAAACTTTTTAAAAGTTATTGCAAATTATAACAGGCATGTTTTCAGGTAATTTGAAAAACTAAAAACAAATTCAAAACACACTGCTTACCATTATAATTAAAGTTAGGGTTTTTGAAAACTAGAACTAAGGGATATGCAACTGTTCCAGTCAAAAGATGGAAGGAAGGGGAATGTATTTTTCTGGGTTTCTGGTATCTGTATTTTTCTGGGTTCATGCAGTGGCTGCGCAATCCTAGTAAAATATGCATTTGATTCGGTGCAACAAGTTTGCTACCTCTTTAATTCAAAAACATATTTTCCTAGGCCCACAGGACTACCACTCAAGCTTAGGAAAAGGCAGCTCTTTAAGGAGCTGGCCATAGGAACTGCGAGGATGTCCCCACTGACTTTTCTAATTCTAATCCTAGTTGGTTCATGTGCCGTTGAGAATTTATCTTTAATATGAATAAAGAAGATTAAAAAACAAAATAAAATCAGGTAAACAAACTGGAACAAACAAAAGGAATGCTTTTTAAAGACAAAAATTATATTGTATGTATTTAATTCACATTCCGAATAACAGCTTTTTATCCTACCTTTTTGTCCTGTAGTGCTTTTTCAGCTTCTGTCTTTGCTTTTTGTGTTGCCTGCAATATGAATAATAAAAGAATAAAAATAATTACTTAATTTTGAAAAAAAAATAAAAGATATCCTATAATGAAGATTTACATTCAAAGTACAATAACAACATGACCAAAAGTGAAAGAATGTTTTTGTCTCTTCAGGATCAATCCAGTCTTTTTCCTCCAAAGGAAAAAAAAAAGCGCAATTTACAATTTTCACTGGTTACAGCAGAAAGATTTCCTGCAAGCTGTTGATGAGTTATAGTCTTTTGAGCTGGTGTGAAGGTTATAACTAAGAAGCCGAAAAACTACAATTTCCATGGCTCTGAGCACCATTTAATTGACTTATAAAATCTGTATTTATTTTTATTTTATTTATTTAAAACATTTGCATAGCCACCCATCTTAAACCAAATTCTGGGCCATTTACAACCAAGAATAAAACAACATATACATAATAATATACATAACAAATACATAATAAAAGCCAAAAACAACACAACTCTGCATGGTGCAAAAACAACACAACTCTGCATGGTGCTTACCATCTGTGACAAGAACAGAATGAAGAAAATGAAATCTAAATATATCAGTTAACAAAATATGAAATATGAAATATTAGGGTGGTACTGATGAGATTAAATCATGGATTAGAAGGAAAACAGAAAATTCAAATCAGAAAGTGGGATTTATAGCAAATTGGAATTTAGGATTATTTTACATCATCTTAAATATTCAGCACTTATTTCAGCACTTGTATAAGCAATAGAGGTTAAATTGCTCACTTGAAGCTCTGCATAATATACTCTCAATTAACTGACCTCTTTAAAATTTGAATGAAAGCATTTCTCTGATGCATCCATGCATTTTAATATTGTACAGCTGCTGTCAAACACAAGCAAAAGCAGGAACTTTTAGCTTTCTTGTCTTCTAGCCAAGAAGAAATCTGCTAAAGCAATGCCTGTATCATTCTCCACTACGTAAGTATTAGCCACTGTATTGTACGCAGCAGACTAAATGGTAAGGAATGCTACCAGATTGCATTTATATGATACATTTTCAAGGTGCCTTGTGCCATGAGAAGAGATTACAACGTGATCATACAAAACAGAAGACAGAAATAAACTAGAACGTATTAGTTTAGGACTAATGAACGAGCACATGCTGGTGATGTGACTGCTGTTATTATCAAGCATATACACACACAACCCAGCGTCTGTATCACCTTCTTTTTGTTTCTTTTCCTTTTCTGGGATTCCGCTCCACGAGTCTGTTGTTGGCTTGAGGAAGCCTAGTATTGGGAGTACAAACTCAGGATCTTGGAAAGAAATTGCTCAAGACATAATAAGGAAATTTCTTACTAAACTCACTTTTACTTTCTCTCCTCAAGAAATGGTGACCACAATTAAATAGATGAAATTAAATTATGGAAGGGTTCTAACGAAGTATATCTGTTGACTGATACAAAAATATCTAGGATTTTTATTTCTTATGTTGTTGAAAGTACGTACTGAAGTTTATATATATATATAAATATATATATTCCTACTCCATGTGTTAATTAGGCAAACATTACGGTTCTTCCCAAGCTGGACAAAGATCATACTATATGTTTCAGTTATAGAGTAGGGATGTGAAGCACTTTGGATCTGAAGGGATAAAGGTGTTTCAACACAGATGTGGTAGCAATTGTACCATTTGTTGCAACTACTTAATCCAAACATATATTTTACCAGGAAAAAAAGATTAATTGCTTTCAGGAGTTTGACAGATGCTAGATGAGGGTTCATCATGCTCTGAAGCACCTTTTTCCCTTCAAATCCACAGCAGTGCACAGCCATACTGTAGACCTGTTTCCTTGACAAATGTGGATGCTAAGATAACTAACCTGACTTATCAACTTGTTCCAACTACAGTTAGTTTCTGCTACGGTTTCCTGAAGGTCACTGAAGTAGAACTAAACTCACATTGAGTTTCCCTAATTTTTATACTCCAGGTAGGAATGTTTTATTTAAGCATTATTGTGTATTTTGTAATGGTGCATCTCCTTTTTTAAGTTGATATAATAAAAATGTCAAGGTTGCCCTTTGAAAAAAAAATGTTAGGCTCTCTTTTCTGGGTCACTAGAAATTCTAAAAAATATTAGTGGATGCAGAAGGGGAGGCAGAGGATAAAATTCTTTCATTCTGTTCCTAATCTCATTCCACTAATATATAATTTTGTATCATATCTGCTTACTCTATAAATTGGAGTAAATCAGACATGATGCCCCTGAGTTTTGGAAATAATCCTGATGTGTATATGAACTGGAGATCAGGTTATATTCTGATTTTTCTGTTTTCAGAGTATAAAGATTCCTAGAAAGCCCTTTCAAATGAAAATTTTGAATTTATTCCCTGATACATAAAAGATCTAGGTAGTCTAGAATTCTACTGAGTGCTTGATATAAGGTAAACATGATTAATTAACTTAACTCATTTTATACTATCAGGTGTATCATCTTTCTTGGTTTAATGAATTTTTAATTCATTAACCTACTTGCAACTTGACCTCATGGCCCATCTTGGAACTGGATATTTGTCTACCCTTACCTGAAAGACAGTGGTGGGGCCACTACAAAAAATACAGAATGGCAATATCTTCAGCTAAAGATGCACAGGAGTTATCAGTGAAACAGCTGAGTGTGCACAGAACCGCTGACTATGCACATGCACACAGACAATATGGGAAAGCTACTAAAGCTTTTTTTAGTTTTTTATTCAGACTTCCACAAGAAGCTGCTGCTTTTGAGAGTAGCACCTCATTTTTGCCAACATGCTTGACAAAGTGCTTCTTTAAATATTTTGCAGTTCAAATGAAAAAGGTGTTTTCAGGTTGTCTTAGACAACAACAGCATACTTTAACTAGAAATATCATAAATCTTCTTAGCTAGTATATAATATAACTACAGCTTATAAAATTCACATTCATTTTGTTCTGGAAGATTCATTGAATTTTGTAGATGTTTATGTTCTTTTGAACTATATACAGACTGTTTGGAAACTAAAAGGAGGAGGATGTAAATGGATACTGCGTGCTTTTATGATAAAAAAATGTAAGAAAGCACATTCAGCACAAAAGACTGTTATCAAGTGTATTAAAGTATACGAGTAGAAATAGAGGTAATAACATCTTGGTTTTAAAAATGGAGGGCTAAAAGATTTCAACCGTGGACAATTACTTTGGATTCACATGTCATTTTATTTCCATCCTCAAATAAAGCTGGAATCTCAGCTCTCTATTCCATGTATTAAGCTACTTCTGTATGGCATACAGTATATGGTCCTTTTCTTTCATATGAGCTCATCATATCCTCACAGTTCAAAACAAAGAAAGGATGGAACAAACTGCTGAATCACATCCCAAACATCGAATAGCTTTGGATTATTAGTGATGCTCAAAACTGTAAGCCCACTGGTTTGCAAAAAAAGCCAGGAAAACCTATTATCAAGATACTGAAGTCCATCAAACAGTTCAGTTTAATATTGCTTGATGGTCCTGTTTGTTCATTTCTGGGGGAAGAAGATTATTTTCTTTGGCTTCTTAGTTCTTTCCCTTGCATTTAGACTGTGGTTCTATGAAAATTTACTAGGGAAACTGCAGTCAGTTCAGTTGGACTCATTTATAAGTTAACATGTATGGAATTGTACTAACAGAGAAGAAGTCACATTCAATCTGTTTGTCTTATTTAATATTTAGCACTGTATAATTTGAGCTGTGAAAAGCTAGTTGATAGATTGTTCTTCAACTAGCAGTTTTTTTTCATATTTATTTGGTTGTTTGTGAGCTCAGCTGCATCGATCACTTTCACTTTTTGGCAAATACCCTATCCTTATCATGCAGACATCAACTCTACCTTATCCTAGATGTTGCTGATTACAATTCCCAGCAGCCCCAGCCATCATGGCAATAGTGAGGGATGGTAGAAGTAGTAGTTCAGCAACATCTGAAGGTTCCTTCTCACCTTAATGCCAAATCTATGTAAGAGTAGAGGAAATCCAAAACATTATTTTTAATAGCCAAGTGTCATCTCACAGAGAGGGCATGCTCCGGCTCCCCGCAGTAAAAGAACTTCGATTAGCGGGGTCCAGAAGGCGGGCCTTCTCTGCTGTGGCCCCCGCTCTTTGGCACATC